TACCACACACACTGAATAACAGAATGACTTTGTAATTGAGGAACTGTTTATGAAAGTCTTGATTTTAATAACTGTCTCACACTTCCCACCTTCCCCACCCCTCCTCCAAAGAGCCAAGGACTTCTTTTAGGGCAAAGTCCATATCTTGCCCAGTGGTAAAAATACAGCTCAACATGAACAGGCTTGCAATGAGGCACACCTTGGCTAACCTCTACCTTCAACACCTTCTGTATGTGTCAACTCAGCAAGGGCTTTAACTTGTTTTCTCTGCTGGAAGATGAAGTCATACCATTTTTTTTCCAGGGCTTGTGTGAAAATAACAAATTGGCAGCAACTGGGCCTTAGTAGGTATTCAAATCAATATTTAGTTCCTTCTTGTTCCTCTTCTGCACCTATACTTGTTTTTATGGCCCCATGATTATGAGGATGGGCCTCTTTCCATAGCATGTGCTAAATCAAGGATTCTAGATAAACACTGGTGGTAAATAAATACTTGCTGTAAGCCAGGGGACTAATTTACCACACACCGTAGTACAGCAAAAGAGTCATTCTCTACAAAGTATTTTGGTCCTAAATTAGTACTCTTTTTGTAGGAAATGCACAGTAACTAACAGAAGTCCATTCAGCTATTAAAAGCAATAAGCTAGACTTCAATGGCCTGGCATGGAAATTGTAGCATTGCTTCTCTAGCACTAAGCCCATGGCAACAACTGTCCTAACACTTCCACAAGTCAATCATTTCTCATAACAACCTTCTGGATGAGGGTGCTATAATTAACCCCACTTTGTGCATACAGACACTGAGGCACAGAAAACCTTGGACTGGCTCACCAAGCACAGGGAGGTGGAGCTCATTAGCACCATGATAAGAATTTGCTGTTATGGAATGTGTATTGCCACATATGTACACACATAGAAAATCACATACTGCCATGGGTTTGGGCCAACTATAAAGTTAGAGGGTATTGACCCCAAGACCAACTTCCCTTCTGACACCAACTGTCTGTTCAGGCCAATCATTTTCTGTAAGAACTCACAGAACTCCCTGAAAATGGTTATACTCATAGCCCAGTTCATTACATAGAAGGGATATGGAATAAGTTCAGCCAAGAGAGGAAGCTCATAAGACAGAGGCCAGGAAAAGCCTCAGATGTGGAGCTCCCATCATCCTCTCCCAGGGACTCATGGACTTTTCGTTCCCCTGGCATCTGTGTGTGGCAATGTACACAGAGCCCTGCCAAACAGCAGAACACCCTGAGCCTGGTGTTTAGCATGTTTATTGGGGCCCCTTGCATAGGCAGGATTGACCCACACATGGTTGAGCTGGTTCCCAGGTAACACAGACCGCACAACCTAAAGTCTCCACCTTAAGTCACATTGTCAGTTTTTCTGGTGTGGTCAGCCCCACCCAAAATCACACTGTGACTATCTGGTTAGACCAAGGTTCCAGGAAAACAACGCTCCTGCCAGGAGCCAAGGTCAAAGGCCAGACTTCCTTTTAGAATAAGTTGGCTCTTACTGCACACACAAATGCCTACTTGCATTGGTATTTTAGGCTGGTAGCACAAATTGTGTGTAAATGCATAGGAAAAAGAGATTGGAGTGAGATCTACCAAATTATTAGCAATCAGAATTGAATAAAGTAGGGCCTAAGTGCTTTACTGCATGCATTCTTCTTATATTTATTTTTAAGATCCTTGCCCATAAGACTGCATGTGCATATTGCTTGTAAGCCTAGCTATCTTTAAGCCTTTAAAGAATAAAGAAAAAAGAGAAAAGAAACAGTAGTGGCTGCCAGGCTGGCAGACATGACACAGGTCGGCAGGGCCACATGCTTCTATAAATAGGATGCAATCTGCTGACTTGCCTTGCGGTGGAACGGCATGGGTTGGCCACATCACTGGAATTCAGAGTTGGGAAATCCTAATGAAGTGGCACGATGTTGGGGCTCAGGAAGGAGACCTGTCCAGGAGAGGACTGGTCATCGGACACAGATCACAGTGACCTGCAGGGCACTGGCCGCAAGGGTGGCCTGTGTTCTGCCAGGAGATAAGTGGGGACAGTGACCAGGATGGAGAACATGAAACTCAGGTGTTGGCCTTGATAGTGGGGAGGGGAGGTAAAGTCAGAGGAGCAGAATGTTCCCCACTGTGGGCCTCTTCTACCCCAGATCTGCGCAAAGCCAGAAGACATGAGCATCAGAGCCACATCTCCCTGCAGGTCACCCCACAGCCCTGCTCTGTCCTTTGAGCTGGCTGCACAGCAGCACTTCCGCTCAGCTGTCCTGAAGCCCAGGAGTGCGCGATTTATGCGCTTTACCTCCACCCATGCTCAGAGCGAGGGGGGGCCGCCCAACTGTCCCTCCCCATGGAACAGGCCCTACATACACCTGCCTCAGGGGGCCCAGCAGCCCTAAACAAGGCAAAACCTGGAGGGTCTCATATAGCTGCAATTTACCCAAAAAAGACTTTCTAATAAAACCTGATGGCAAGTGAAGGCGAACGCACCAATGCTACCTACGTGAGAAACACAAACTAGAAATGGTCCTGAAACTGTAACTCCAGCCCCCTTTCCTTCGTTATTCAGGTACACCATTGCTGCTTTCTCCCCTCCTGGGAAGAGCTGTGGTGCAGTGAAGTAACACACACCATAGCTGTGGGGTGCCATGGACTGCACTGGCTCCATGAATCTCTGCAGTGATGAGACCAAGTCCACGCCAGGTTATAGTTAACGGTGGGAGACTGAGGCCCGGAGAGACTAAGAAGCATTAGGCCACACAGCCCCTGTAGGTAGAACCACTGAACAACTCAAACCTGTGTGATGTCAGTCTACACTCTTCCTGAAGGAACTGAGAAGTTCCTCTTTAACACATGACCTGTGGTGGGAGGTCCCTGGCAGGATTTGTCCCTAAATTCAGCAGCATCTTGAATCTCAAAATAACCTGGACTGACTTCCAGGCCAGCTATCATGGGGATACTTTTTCTAAACTGAAAAACAAACTCAGGATCCAACAAAGGGATTTTCTTCTCTTTCATGTGTGAAAGTGAATATGAGAAGTTGTTGTTCAGCTGCCAGCGTGTGGGCATTCCAGGGACAGCTGAGTGGTATTGACAACCATAGGGCAGCCACCGGACACTGGGAGGAACCAGCATCTCTAAACTTCCCCGGTGCCCCCACCCCCATGTGCTCTGAACCCACCCTTACCTCACATTGTTGATTGACATATTTCTCACCCAATGGTTTGTGACCTGCAGGACAGCGGCACCCAGGGCAATGGGATACAGAAATACAGGGGAAAATAACTGTCCAAAAGAAGGAAGGGAAGGGAAGGAAGGCAGAGAAGGGGGAGGGGGAAAAGAAGGAGAAAGATGCAGCTCAGAAATGAACCTTGTCACCTCTCCAGTTATAAAATCACCAAATCCCACCTCTGAAAAAGGACACACATGTGAGCCAACCTACATGAGGAAGAAGACACCCTTTCCTTTCCCTTCCCTGTCACCCAGGACTCAGACTTCCTGGTGACGCCAGCTGGGAACCTAGAGACTTCACCACTGGTGTTCCCTGGGGCCTAACCCCGAAGTGACTGCTGGCTCCACCCGGCTTCTCCTGTCCCAGGGCAGCCTGGAGATTGTTGACCTGTTAGACTAGGGGGCAGCAGGTGTAACCCAGCCCAGGGTGAGGATGGCCCACAAGATACTGTGGTCAGAAATGTGGTGTAGACGTGTGGTGTCTGGATTGTGCCCAGGCTTCCCCAAATCCCCACACAGCCTGGGACCACAGAATGTGGGTCCCACAAGGCGGTGCCATGGTGGGGACAGATGGCAGAAGGCTGCACAATGGGCCCTGAAATGCAGCTGCCTAGTGCCAGAGCAGATGGCCCTGCTTCACAGCAGCCTGCGTGAGGTGTGTAGAGTCTGAGGCATCTACAGAGCACAGCTGTGGTGGCAGATGTGCGAGCCCTTGGGGCCCTGTGCCAGGGAATAATGAGAAGGACAGAGGGCTACTGAAGCCTTGAGGAGCGTGCCAGGTAGGAAGGGCTATGGGTAGCCTGGAGAAGATGTGGGGGGCAGGAGAGCGGCTTTCAAGTGTCTGGAGAGCTGTCATGGGAAACAGGAATTTAAATTTGTCCTTCCTGGTGTCACAGGGCAAAGCCAGAGCAGCACAAGGGGCATCGAGGCAGTTGTGGGTCATGTAGAAGTCAGCCTGGCACCAACTAGCACTCAGGGTTGAAATGATAATGATGAAATAGTGTCTCCAGAGACCGAGCTCCCCAAGCAGAGATAACCAAGCATGGCCACAATGGCTGCCTCTAAGACATCCCAGGGTAGGTCCTGGCTGCCCAAGAGGACCTTGGTGGGGTCTTCATCCCTAAGAGCTGAGCCTTTTCCTGAAGCCTCAGAGACATCTGCCCGACAGCAGGGTGTCTCCATGCTCCTGTCTCCAGTGCTCTGGCTGAGGACAGAAGCCAAGCACTTTCAACAGCTGCCACCCACTGGTTTTGTTTCCTAAATTGGCCTGCATGGGGCCTCACACCACTGGTGCCCAGGAACAAGGGCCACAGAGTCCAGACAGTAATTGAGCCCATGATGTCAGCAGGCTGCTGGCGCAAAGAACACTGAAGCCCTGAAGCAGAGGCCAAGCTGCCTCAGGTTACCATTCTCACAGCAGAGCTGAGCTTTGTCTCCAAGAGCCTGGACCTCTGCAAGGCCATTCACGCCAGATGGTGACTGAAATAGAGCTAAGCGCTGGGACCTAAACTGTCACCCGGGAAGAGGGTGATCCGTCAAGGACACACGGCAGTGGCCTCCAGCTCCCCACCCACTTCTTCCTCCACTGGAGCCCAGTGCAGTCAGGGCTGAGAGATGAGCCCAGCCTGGGCTGGAAGTGGGGACATGGAGGGGCACAGGGCAGGGGCACTCCTCAGGCACAGTGGGACAGCAGGGCTTCCAGAGAACACCTGCTCCTTGCCGCTCACTCACTGGAGGTGGGGCATGGCCTGATTCTGATGGGGGTAGGAGGTAGTCAGTGAGCACGGCACCGGGGCTGAGACTGACCCTGGCCACTGAGGCTGACATGGCCAGGGTCACAGAGCAGTCACAAGGCTGAAGGTTCTCTCCCGCCCCCAGCCCCCAATGTTCTTAGAAATGTCGGGCCTGAAGCCCCGGATGCGCTCATCTCTTGGATCTTTCTTCTGCAGGCAACTGCAACTTGCTGAGAATGAAAATTCTTGAAGAGGACGAACACAGGATCTCTGAGTGCCGAAAGGTGAGGAGTCCCCACAGCGCAGACAGCACACAGCCATTTGGGAGTCCCAAGGACACACTGACTCCTCCACAAATGTCTCCTCACCTCTCGGTTGATTATAAACAGAGGGGGCGTGAGAAGAGAGGTGGAGCTGTGTGGCGGGAGACAAGAGATGAAGGCACTGCCGAAAAGAGTGAGCCATGCCAGAGCCTTCCCTCAGGGGACTTGACAGTAAATGTAATTGTCTGTCCGCCTCAGCCTCGAGCATGTGGAAGTTTGCTGATGAAGTGACACCATTCTGAGACTTTGTCCAAAACAGTCCATTCAGCAAGGAGGTGGTAAGAGTGGAAACAACTTGAGTTCATAATTCCCAAAGCCAGGGTTTGGGGGCTCATTGTACCAATTATTCTTTGTAGTCTAGTGGATGCTTGAAATTTTCTATAACTAAAGATGAAAGTATTTTCAACATCACTGTTAATGTCATAGTCTGGAAAGACAATTTGAGAAGGATGTGAATATTAAACCAAGGTCAGTTTTGGTGGCCATAAGTATGTTAGTGCTATTAGTCTTCCCGGGAGTCACAGGAGCAAGCTGTTCCTGAGCAGGAGGACTATGAAAAGCACACCCTTTAAAAACACAACCCTATAGTCCCAGCATTCTGGGAAGCTGAAGCAGGAGGATTGCCAAATTCAAGCCCAGCCTGGGAAAGTTAGTGAGTTAATGAGACCCTGCGTCAAAATTAAAAATTTTACAAAAGGGGCTGGGGTTGTAGCTCAGGGCAAAGGCCTGGGTTCAGTCCCCAGTAACACACATGCGCGCGCGCACGCGCACACACACACACACACACACACACACACACACTGAAAATGGAAAACATGCTACTCATTCTCACTCCTCATCTCTTTTGCAGGGGGCCAACTTATTGGTTTCAGCCTCCTGCATCCGGGGAATCCTTTGCAAAAGCTCCTAGAGATGGAAGGGTTTCTTGCCCCATGAACTGCTCTGCAGCGATCTCTGAGCTGGGCTGTGGTGTCCTGGGTCCATGGACACACCAGAAAATCGGCTTCAGAGGTTCGACCAAGCCTTTATAGAAACTGGCCCATCCCACACCCAGCTGCTCAGATGCCTTCTGTAAGGAGGAGCCCAGTTTGATGGACTTCAGCCCTCCTTTGCCTGCCAGGGAAGCCAGGCTGAGAGGCCAAACAGATGAGTTATGAGCTAATTTCTACCTGTGCTCACCTGTTGGTGTCAGTTTCTGCAGGTCCTCACTGGTGCAGACTCAGGCACATGGTGGGACAGCCTGTCTTTAGGCGGGCTGTCCACGGAGCAGTGCAAATATCATTGGTCATTTGGGACACAGTTTCAAATGGTCTGATACCTAGCATTAAATAAAACTTGCCAGATACCAGCCTAAGTTCTCCTCCATCAAGGAGAAAGGCTCGCTTTGGAACCAGTGTGTTTTACCTTCCTAAACACCAGCTAATCCCCCCTCAAACAATAAAGGAGTCAACTTCAGGTTCGGAGTGTCCACTACAATAACATGTGGCCCATATCAGATAACTTGGTTTGATCTTCATCATTTTTAGTTCTGAATCCACTTTCTGTTTATGGAGAAATGTTGGTTTCGCCTGTGCCGTCATAAGATATTATAAAGAAACATTAAGTAAACATGGTTTGGACATTCTGTGAAGTGAAGAAACAGACAGATTTAATATGAAGCTGACGAAGGTTGCACAGGCCCTTCTGAAGCTGCCCCAGCAGCGCTCAGGACAAGAGACAGCAGGCAGGGGAGGAAGGCAGAGCAAGCTGCGAACGGAAACCTCCCCAGCTTCGATAGACAGATCTGGTTCTCACAGGTCTGCAAACACACAGGCCACCTGAGTATGCTTGGCCTCATTTTAAAGGCCCTTCGTCACCTGGACGAGCGTCTTGGGAGTCACCTTGGACTGCTTCCTCAACTCCACTGACCACGTCTTCTGGTGGTCAGAGTCACCCTGGTGGTCACTGACCAGGAAACGGTTGCTATTCACGCCATTACCATCCCCGCCCTCATTTCTACATCGGTGGCATTGTCCTTGCAGTCTCCACCACCATCCTTCTCCTCCCCATCCTCACCCTCCAGTCCTGACTGTCCGTCACTGCCACTGTCTTCACAACCACATCATCATCCTTCCTCTTACCAACACTGGCATCCTTATCGGCGCCATCCTGTACCACTCCTAGTAACAGAGTTTACCGTGCATTTTGAGTTGGTGCAGAAATTGGCCTCCATGTTGGATATGTCAGTGGACGCCCTCCTATCCAACCTATTGGCAGATGATAAGACAGACTTGGAGAAGTAATGCATTAATATTTTCCCTTAGTTACTGCAGACTGATCAGGCCCACAGTCTCCCAAATGAGTGGACGGCGAAGGCTTAAATAAATGAGCCAAGTGGTATGATTTTAGGGCTCCAGGAGGATCAAAACCTTCAAACAGAATTCAAGATTCTCTGGGGACTGAGACAAAGATCTTTCCTGGGTGCCGAATTTATTTAGTTATCAAAACAAGGGAGGGGAATACTGAAGAAAAGGGGGAACCACTCAAGGACTTCTCCAAGTAAGACATTATGTTAATTTAGGAGAGCTATGTTAACTTGGAGAAGGTCTCCACCCAGGAGTGAGAGGCCTGAAACTACAGTCTTTATGTAGTTAATTGAGGTTGGAGCCAGGTGTCCTTAGCAGCGGCCTTGTCTTGTCCTTTGAGGTGTCCTGTCTTCACCCGCCATTACAGGCCTCAGTCGGGACCACCGATTCACAGAGGTTCACTTACTATGAGTCCACAGCCCATCCCCAGACAAGGGGCCTGGGCCTTGGACAGACTCACAAGTAAACATGCAAAGCCAATTTGTTAATTTAAATCCTGCTCAGAGCTGCTTCACGGTGGTGTCCATCAGAAAAGGTAAGTGACTTGTCGGGATCCACACACTAGAAACTAGTACAATTTGGACCTCAGGTCTGTCATTAGAGTCCAAGCTCCTACTTGCTGCACCTTCCTGGCTTTGGTTCAGTGACCTAGCTTAGACTTTCTACATTTCTTTCCAGAGCTTCAGTGCTACCTAAGCAGTCTGCCTGCCTCCTATCGCCCTCTACTACCACTGAAACTACACCATGTGTCTGAGGCAGAGGAAATCTATGTAATACTCAGACCTGTCCCCACCATTTCCCTGCATACAACCCTTTACAGAGACTCTCCACCTAGAGAGTGCAAGTGAAATACTACTTTGCCATAAAGAAAAATAAACTTGAGTTGTTTATAGGAAAACGGATGCACCTTGAGACCATAATGTTAAGTGAAATACATCAGACACACAACTTAAATATCACATGGTTTCTCTTATATGAGAAACCCAAAGTATAAATAAAGAGCAAAATAAAAGACAGGTAATAGAAAATAGGAAGATGTGTAAATGGGGAGGGGTTCAAGAGATGGAGGGAAGGAAAAGCAGGGGAAGGGGTGAAAAAGGAATTAAGATATGTTACATACATGTGCCAGCTCCCCGTGAAGCATGTCAGCATTACGTACAGCAAACATGGACTAAAAAAAATAAAAGTGAAGAAAACGAAACAGATTCCTTGCACTTATTCCTTGATGGAAAGCAACAGAAACAACTGAGTACTTTAAGAAAGGAGAAGAGGCAAGGGCAGGTACCTCTTTAAAAGCATAGATGACGCAAGAAAGGCTGCAGCCCAGCATCTGGAGGTCTGCATTTCAGCCAGCGCAGCCATTCACAGGATCTCTTAGACCAGACTCGCCTTCTCTCTCAGCCCAGTGGCTGCAGTCCCACAGCTTGAAGCTGCAAGGCAGGGCCACCCCTCGAACAAAGACTGAAGACTGGGTGAGTCTGAAGGCAAGCTCTGCAGGCCAGCCTTCTCAGTCGGCGTGCTGATTTATATTAAAGTGAGCAGCAACCAGCCACAGGAAATGCCTGGGCCCTGGGCAGTGACAGGGAGAAGAAGAAGTAGCCCATGCAAAGGCAGATGCTGAGGCCTGGGGAGGCTGACTGTCCATTTGCTACACTGCCACCGACTTTGCATGAGTGGCCCCTACAGAGTCCAGGCCCCGGGCTTCCACACCAGTGCGGGCCCACCCCTCCGTCGTCCACACCGCATGCACAAGTCTCAGACATGCTCTCCATCTTACCTGAAGGGAGCCTGGCTGCCAGGCAGGAGAAGGAGGAGGAGGCTGGGAGCCCTCAGGGCCCACGTGCATGGATGGCCCGCCACTCAGCCTGCAGGACCCGGGCTCTGCGGGATTCGCACCCACATGCCACCATCCTGCTGGAGCTCTCTGCTCTTTGGGCTCAAGTCTAAGGTCCTCACATTGCTTTTCCAAGGAGAGGTGAATGGGCACCACAGGAGAGAAACATCTAGAAAGTAGGAAATAGACACAGGTTACCCTCGAGGCCAGAGACGCTCCCCAGTGCATGCTCACTGACAAACACAGGGGTCCCTTTACCACCAAGGGAAGGGGGTTCGGGGGGGCAGGGCCTGGAGGAGAAGCCCAACAAACACAACAAGGCCCCTCCAGATGGATCGTATTAGGGTAAGGATTCCATATAAAAGTGCAGGCAGGGGCCACTTGGTGCACAGCCCCCTCCAGCGGCCAGACCCGAAGGAAGCATCTCATGGACTAAACCCAGAAGAAGTCACAGGCGGGGAAAGGGCCTATGCAGGTGGCTGTTGGGGCCCAGGCCAGCGTGGAGGAGTGTGAGAGTGGGTGCGGAGGGGCAAAACAAGCCCATTCAGCTCACCAAGCATTCAGCCAGCTGGCCTCCTTCCCTTCCTTCTCTTCCTCCTTCCTTTTTCTTTTTTGTGGTACTGACGATTGAGCCTAGGGCCTTCACGCCGAGCTATATCCCATCTATCTATCTATCTATCTATCTATCTATCTATCTATCTATCTATCTATCTACCATCTTCATCTCCATTATCATCATCATCATCTATTTATTGTCAGGGTCTCACTAAGCAGCTAAACTGCCCCGGCTGGGATACAACTAATGATCCTCCTGCCTCAGCCTCCCAGAGTGCTGGGGTTATAAGTTTCTCCTGGCAGTGTGCACATGCATGGCACCCAGCACCCCATTCCCCTTGTGCACCCCCCAAGTCAGCATCCCTTCCGCTCAGGGATAGTATTTTTTCCCTACCTTTCCACACAAGCTAAAGCCCTCTGTGTTCCCCTTAACACAGAGCTTCTCTCTCCTGGTCCTGCAGAGCCACTTAGAACGCACCCTCCTCTCTCCCCAGGGCAGCCTCAGCTCCTCTTCCCCGCTGTCCAGAGCCTCTCCAGAGGGTACATCTGCCTAAGAGCTTCTTCACTAGTCTGTGCATTCATGTCATACAGCTCAAAATCATTTTTAGCTGCAAAACCTTCTGGGGAGAGTGTTGCAAAAATAATTTTCTTGAATTGATCTAGAGAAGCACGTTTGTCAATAGAAATCACATCTCTTCACAGACTCTTTGCTATGTCTACAGAGATAGGAGCCAGGGCAAAAGTAAAGGACTAGTGGGTATCTGAGAAATCTCCCTGAGCCAAGCTGGAGAAATGAGGAAAATAAGCAGATGTTGGAGCCAGGAGGATGTTCGTGTTTCTATCATCAGATCAGATCTGCCCCCTGCAGGAGTTTGGGTTCCTTCATACTCTCGAGCGACCACAGGTTCAAGGCCACCTGCCTGTGTCTGCACATTGGTGCCTTACGGGAGACCATGCTGGCTCTTTCTAACTGACGAGTCTTCACTCGGGACCCGGGGAAAAGAGTACACTGTGTCCCTTAGACACAAGGACATCTGTCTTCCCTCCAAGAGGAGGGGTGATTATCCACAGCGGCCGCACCACAGGGAGGAAGGAAAGTTGGGGGTGGGGCATTCCTGACTGGCTTCAGACTGGACTCTGGCCAGTATAGAGAGGATCTGCAGCCCAGCATCTGCATCCTCAGAGGAAAAGCCCCTCCCATTTCCTATCAAGACCTCATGTGACCTTGATCAGATCCTCACTCACTGCCTTGGCTGGGCGTTGCCCACGGTCCAGTATGCAGCTGGGGCCCAGGGTTCAGGGCTGCAACACTACCCACTGCCCTGCCTGCTGCTTCTTTTGCTGCCGGGACTCTCCTCCCCTCCTGGAAATAGCACATGGATTTCCTGAGGGATTCAGCCTTCCTCCCTTCTTGATCGGGGAGGTTTGCACAGCATTAGTGCCACCCCCTGGACCCAGGCCTGGACTATCAGCTCATCTTATTGCAGAGCCACAGGGATTGGGTTAGGCTGAGCCAGGCTTAGCCACTAGGCCCAGCTAGTTTCTGTTCTGGAACCATCACCAGAGCAACCCAGAAAGTGGCAGGCGTGCTGAGAAGGCTACCCATAGCCTGGAATGAATGCCAGGCAGCAACGTGTGGGAAACACTCAAGTTCAGAATCAGAGCTACAGCTGGACCTTCCAGTCCTGAGCCATGGGGTCCTGTTTCTG